GGAGGCCAGACTTCCTGGGGTGTCCCACGTCAAGAAAGTGGCCGGCCAGGCAGGGCTCCGTGGCCAGCCGGATGCCTGGGGACTCGAACCCGAGGGCGATGGAAGTCCCTCTTGCCTGTTGATTGTATCTGAAAGGTTAGCTTCCAGGGGGTGGTTAAGTCCTTGGGGGGCTCTCTTGTTATGGTGCTGGTTACATAAACGCTCAGGGTAGTTCCCTATTGACAGAAGGTTCGTTAGAGATGGGCCACAGCGTTCCCAGGCCCGGGAGGAATAAAGGGCCTCTCATTAGCTTGCAGTGAGTGACTGGCAGGCTGGCACAGCCCTGTCCCCGGCCCTCTTTGAACCAGGCTCTTATGTAAGGAGAGTCCCCAGGCCCTTCTGAGTTATTATTTTTCCCCGCTTAAAGGGAGCATACCAGTGGTGTGGTGGGCCCAGGGGAGCAGTGCCTGTCTTCAGGGTGGTGTGGGCTGGTCACGTGTGGGGGAGGGTGGTTTCACACTGGCACTGGGGCTCCAGGAAGCATTAGGACGCAGGTTGAAATGTGAGGGGGTCACGAATGGAGCCTCCAGCCTTATGGGGAGAAGCTGTCTCCCAGGCACCTTAGGAGTCTAACTCAGGGGTTGCTGCATCAAGGCTTCTCAAGAGCAGGGTTGGGAAAGCATATCTCCTGAGGGTGGGCGAGGGTGATATCAGAATTCTTGGGGAGATCTATAGTCTGAAGCAGTATATTACTGAATACGATTTGCTCCAGAGCAGTGGTGGGCAAACTCATTAGTCAACAGTGCCAAATATCAACAGTACTCTAAGTTAATAACAATGTACCTACCTATATAGTTTTAAAAATTTGGATGAATGAATTGAGATTGAGATTTCTTTTGAATTTTTAAAACTATATAGGTAGGTACATTGTTATTAACTTAGAGTACTCCTAAGCTGGCCTTTGCTAAAAATTCAAGGGATCAAAGAGCCGCATGTGGCTCGCGAGCCGCAGTTTGCCCACCACAGCTCCAGGGACTCAAGTCGAACAAAATCTCCAGGCTGGGGTGCGGGTCTGCAGAGGACAGGGCTGAGTTCAGATGGGTGACTCCCGCGCTGGGGCGTTTTGGGGAGAGGCTGCTTTCTCATCTGGTCTGGAAATGCTGTCATTCAGGTTTCAGCTCGAATGTCACCCCTCCGAGAGGCTCCCCCTGACCCAGCCAGGCCACCTGCCGCTCCGCCACCTCCCCTGCTTTAGTTCTTCCCTCAGACGTAGCGCCTCCTGGGAGCCTGCTAGCGTGATCCCTCCCCCTCCTCTTTCACCCCGGCTCCGGTGGGCCCGGGAGACACGTGGAGCCAGTGACCGTGTGTGTCTGCTAGAGACACTGTGCAGGGTAGGCCAGGCAGTCGGCCATGTCTCTTCCCCCCAGACCCCCCCGAAGGCACTGCCACTCCAGGGCCAGCTTGCAGGGTGCTTGTCTGTTTCCAGGCCTGGAGTCTCTGGCTGGCAGCGTGTGTGGCTTCCCTGTGTTAGCATTCTGTCGTGAATCTTTCTCTGCACATCTTTAGCTACTTTGGAGCTTGACGATTCTCTTTTCCCCTTTTGACCCAAAGATACCTGAACTCCTGAGTTGTCCTGTAAGGGTAAGGTAGGGATCCTGTGGGAGGTGCTAACGCCATGACCAGCCCTCAGAAATATTTCCTGAGACTTCAGGCCAGCTCAGGACCTGCACTGCCCACCACTCCAGCTTGCCTGGGCCTCAGCGGACAGACACCGTTCCGGTCTCCGGCTGTGGCTGGGGACATGCACCGTCCAGGGAGAAAGGATGTCCAAGGGAAGGATGTCCATGTCTGGGCTCTTAGATTCCTTTCCTCTTGCTTCGTTTTGCTTTTACCAGAGGGCCGAGCGGAGCCGGCAGGCACCTGTGAGCTTGCAGGTGGGGAGACAGGTGGACGTCTTCCTGAACCTCTCTCAGCAGGTGGGGCTGGCATTTCAGTTTACCTTCCCCTTGGCAGATGTGGCTGGGCCTGTTACACATTCCAGAAACCCAGCACCCATCTTTGAGCCCTATTGTACTTGTTACTCCTCTGTCTTCATCCCAAGATGTACATTTTTCCCTCAGCATTTTCAGAAGTTCCTTATGTTATGACTGATATATATACATACACATATATATGTATATGTACATATATGTATGTGTGTGTGTGTATCTTGACATAGGAGGTTTATTTTTTCTCTTAAAAGTCAGTGGCTTGCTGAAACTGATTTGGCTCAGTGGATAGAGCATCAGCCTGCGGACTCTGAAAGGTCCCAGGTTCGATTCCGATCAAGGGCATGTACCTTGGTTGGGAGCACACCCCAGTAGGGGGCGTGCAGGAGGCAGCTGATTAATGTTTCTCTCTCATTGATGTTTCTAACTATCTCTCTCCCTCTCTGTAATAAAATATATATATATATTAAAAAAAAAAAAAGTCAGCAGCTTGTTTTGAATCAGTGACAACTCAGAATCCAGGAACTAGGGTGTCTTTCACCACTTGCCGCCTCTATGCCCCAGTCTAAGCCACAGAGTCTCTGGCTCGGGTTGTGTCTGAGACTGTCACTGCTGTCTCTGCCTGCTTGCTGCTCTTCAGCTGCCACCGCCTCCCCCTTCATCCCCTCTCTCCCAGGAGGCAGAGGGATCCTTCTAAAAACCAGACCAGCTGTGGCACTCCAGCAACTTTCCAAAGTGCTTATCTTGACTGCTCCCCAGCCTCCTCCTTTGTTGTTTGCTCACAAGTCCACTCTGCTCCAGCCTTTTGATGTTCTTGAGCCCTGCAAAGCTCTGTGCTGCCCCAGGGCCTTTGCACCTCCCTCAGGGAAGCCTCAGGGTTTGGTTCAAATCACACTTCCTTAGAACGGCCTTCTCTGGCCACTCCTGTGGCACTCTGGTCTCCTTTGTTTTCTCTCTGGTGCCTGGTACAGCCTGACCTTGTGTCACATGATAGATGCTTTGCCTGTGTTCCCCTTGAGCATAAGGAGGTCCCGTGGGGGGCATGGCCTCCCTTGGCTGTGCTCACTGTTGTATCCCATCACCTGGAGCACTGCCCAGCACCCTGCTGTCACAAATAGGTCTTTCTGTTCATTCTGGAGCCCAGCACCTGGCACGGGTTGGCACAGGGATGGGCTCAGCAAGTGTTTGCTGAGGGAGTGAAGAACAGGACCTTCTCTGCCAGCAGAAAAGGCTTGTTAGCGGTTCCAGATGCCCTGTGCACGCTGTTGAGCCCTTTGCAGGTTCTGTGCAGCGAGCATATTCTTGCTCTGTGTGGGCGTGGGCCATGGCTTCCCTGGCCTGGGCCACTGCTCCTGAGGAGCACAGGGAACAGGATTGCTACATAGAAGGCAGCCACAAGCACCCAGCCTCCTCGGGCAGAGCCCGTGGCTCGCTCTTACAGACTGAGATTTCGTGGTCTAGGTTGGAGCTCCTCTGGGCCAGGTCGGTCCCAGGAGATGGGCAGCCAGTGGAGCTGGGGCCTGGATCTCCCACCCGAACCTGGTAACGCCTACCAAACCACTTGACTCTTGGGGACCTACATGTGGGGAGAAAGTGATGCCAGTCCCTGGGAACCAGGTCCTGTTGCCAGTCCTAGGACAGGGTCCCAGGTCTTTACTTTCAGAAAAATAGGGGAGGGTGCCTGTCTAATGGGTTAGTCGTAACAAAAGCAGCCCTACATGATACATCAACCAGTGAGCATGGCCAGTACAACTTGGTGGATACTGACATCTGGATTTCTTGAAATAGGTTTCTTTTGGTTTTTCCAACCATTCTTAGCTTGAACACCAAGAGGCAGATAGTGGACCGGAATTGGCTTGTGGGCTGTGGTTTGCTGACTCCTTGGTCTAAGCCAGTGGTTGGCAAACTCATTAGTCAACAGAGCCAAATATCAACAGTACAATGATTGAAATTTCTTTCGAGAGCCAAAGTTTTTAAACTTAAACTTCCTCTATTGCCTCTTCTCCAAAATAGACTCGCCCAGGCCGTGGTATTTTTGTGGAAGAGCCACACACGAGGGGCCAGGGAGCCGCATGTGGTTCCGAGCCGCAGTTTGCCGCCCACGGGTCTAAGCCATCTTCTTTGGTGACAGAGTTATTCCTGCAGCCTACTGCCCCCTTGTTTCTTCACCGTTCAGAGAGCTCCTTTAAGAACCCAAGCCGGGTGGTGTTTCTGCTCTGCCCAGAACTCTACGGCCCCACCTCACTCGGAGTAGGAGCCAAAGTCCTCACCCAGCCTGTGAGAGCCTGCACCATGGTCAGCACCCTGCGCTCACCTCTTCTAGTCCCACCCTTGCTCCCTCCCTCCAGCTGAGGGGTCTCTGCTCTGTTGCTTGAATGCACCAAGCATGCCACCCAGGCCATTCCTCTGCCTCCATGCAGATCTCTGACCTGCTCTTTCCTCAGGGAACCTTTCTTAACTATGTGTAGAACTGAACCCCCTTCACTGCCACTCCTGTCCCCTTTTCCTATGGCTCGTGTCATCATATATATATATATATATAGCCTAATATACAAAGGGTTCCTTTGGGATTTCGATCTACTGGGAGTTCGATCACTCGCTATGACCACCAGGGGTCAGCGCAGAACGAAGAAGGCCCCAGCTGGTAGCCAGCAGTGGCAAGGGTCTCTACTGTGTACGAATTTTGTTCACTGGGCCTCTAGTTCACTAATATGTTATGTGTAACTGTCTCTGTCCCCAGACTAAAATGTCAGCTCTGCATGGGCAAGGTTTTCTGTCTCCTTCCACCCCTGAATCCCTAGAGCCCTTAAGAGTGCCTGACTTGGAGTAGGTATTTATACAGGAAATGAATAATATTGTCTCCTCATCTGCCAAAGGGGATTAATAGTGAAGGAGGTAATTCACGTGGAGGACGTGTCTCCGTGTCTGGCACACTTAAGTGTGCAGGGAGCACCAGCTGCTGCCTGTGTAAGGCTGGCAGTGTGGACCCCAGACCGGCTGTTCTGCAAGCTGAGCTCCCCAGGGTGGACTAACCTGCTTGCTGCTCTGGGTGCACAGGTCGGGGGCTGGCCTGGATGAGATCCTCCTGCCTCTGGTCAGCCTGTGTCCACAGGAGTCAGCATCTCTGGTCTCTTCCAGCCTTCTGATCCAACAGCGCCTTCCTGCCCAGAGATACGGAGAGACAGGTCAGCAGGGGTCACAGGCCCGGTGAGGTTAGGTGAGTTATGCAGATGAAGGCCATAGCAGAATCCTAGGAACGAGGTCAGCATCTGATACATGTTACTCGTGGTGGCGTTTCCAAATGGAGCAGGTACAGCCCGTAATCACCCAGAGAGTGCATGGGTTGTGGGTGCTGGTGAGGTGCTGGTCAGATTCAGGCCTGAGACCCAGCGTCTCGGCTGTTAGTCCAGGGTCCCTTTCAGCTTGGGCCTTCTGTGGTCTCAGTGACCAAGCTGGGGGGCACTCGAGCACCTGAAAATCATCCTCTGAGCCTAGTTGCTACCAGATACACTGCCAGCTTCTCCTGGCCCTGGGTCCCATAGCCTAGGGACATTGGCATCCTGACTTGGTGACCCCTCATCTGGCCAGCGGGCGCAGGGTCTGGGAGCTGGCTGGCTGGGGGCCTGGGAGTGAGTCCTTCCCAGTCTGGGATGATGACATTCCGCCCCACCTCGGCTGCCCTGAGCTCCTTGGAGAAATGGGGTCACGAGGCGAGGCCACTGGGGAAGGAGGTATTTCTGGCTGAGCAGGTGTGGCCTGTGCTGGCATCCTGGCAGCTGAGCCCAAGGTCTTTTCAGCTGCCCTGGCAGGAGCAGTGTGACTTCGATATTTTGGAAAGTGTAAGGGAAAGCAAGCCTAGAGTGCTGAGCTGCTGAGTGTGGCAAGTGCGCTCAAGCCTCTGCGTTTGTGAAGTTGGTTAGCTAGCTGAGATGGGCCAGGCCTCTGTCCCGCTGTGCCCTGTGTGCCCTGTGGGGACTGGCTGAAGGACCTGCTGGGCCATTTTCATTTTTACCTGGAGTCCTAGGTTGCTCTGAGCAGGGTTTGCACCGCAGCAGGCCTCTTGTGCCCCAGCTTTGGGAGAAGATGTTGCCCACCAGAGCACACAGTCCTTTGCAGGCACTGGCTAGGTGCTGCTCCGCTGCCCGGCATGCCACAGCCCAGTTCAAGGGCCTTTTCCTGGCAGGCAGTCCCCTGTGGCATCCCAGAATCCCTGCTGGAGGCAGAGTGTGCTGCCCTGTGCCACCTCTGTGAGTGGGCCCCTGTAGAGCATGACTTTGGTGCACTCTGCACCCTTTGGAACTTGGCTTCCTCATGGCTCCTGCTCCCTTGGCCACTGTAGGGATGAGGGAGGATGAGGGGAGGGGGCTGGGAAACTTGCTTCCCGGCCGATTGTCCTCATCCATGGCCACCGGACAGGTCCCTTCTTAGGACACAGCAGTTCCTGGTATAAAAGTGGGAGGTGTTGCATCCATGCTGACTTTCTGGCCTCGTCCAAGGCCCTTGAGGCCACTGAGTCTGGTTTACTGGTGGGAGGAGCGGGAGAAGCACCAGGCTGGCTGTGTGTGTAAAGATGGCGAAACACAGGCTCCTGGCTCCGGTGGCCTGGGCCCTGGTGGCTTATGCAGAGTGGAGCAGCGGTTACAAACTCAGCTCTTCAACTTGGGCTCGAGTGCTACTTGCCCCTTCCCCCGGCCTCCTACTTGCTCTTCCTGCCTTATGGGGCTCAGATAGGAACCTCAGACTTCTCTCTCCTCATCTCCACATGCCAACAAACGGTCAAGCCTCCACCTTCATAGCCTGTCCCTCATCTTCACCTCCATCTGGTCTCCCAGTTCCCAGGTGGTACCTGTGAACACCTGAGTCAGGGTATGCTCCTCTTCTACTCACGAACCCTCCATGGTGCCTGCCTCTCAGAGTAAAAGCCAGCGTGCTCTCTGGCTCACAGGCTCTGTATGAGCTGCCCTTTTCACTCCGTCTTCATGTCCTCCCACTCTCCCCTCACTCTGCTCAGGCCACATAGCTTCTTCCTGCTCCACAAACACGCTCGGCACCGCTCAGCATCAGGGCCATTGCACTGCCGTCCCCTCTGCCTGGAGTACTTTCGCCCAGATGTGTGCACGGTTTGTCCCTCGCTTCCTCCTGGCCTTTGCTCAGATGCCCACCCTGAGGGCGGCCTTCCCTGACCATTCTGCCTAAAATGGCCACCCTCCCCCTCCTGATGCCCCACCCTTCCCATTCTCTGTTTTACTTCCCAGCCCTTGGTGACACAAATCATATCAATATTGTCTTGCCACCCCCAGCACACAGGACTGCAGTGCAGGTCCCTAGAGGCAGGGGCTTGGTTTTGTTCACGGCAGTGCCCGGTCATGGGAAGAGGGTGCAGGAATGAATGAATGAAGCCTCTGCTGGTAAGAGGCAGAGCTGGGGTTAGGGCTCACTCTCCTGGTCCCAATCTGGTCCCCTCCTGTACTGGAATTGGGACGTGGAGTTGGGACCGGGGACTGGAGCCAAGCTGCTGCGAGCACCCTTCCAGGATTTAGGAGTGTGGGGTGGAGCTGCTGCCACAAGGGGGCAGCAGAGATTGGCAGCCTCCATCGCTGTGAACTGTAGTAAAGCTACAGAAGGGCTGTGCAGAGGCCCCATCTCTCATGCCCACATGTGTCTTACTATTGTGAGGGTTCTGCTCACTGTCAGCAGCTGGATGAAGCTTCATGGCACCAATCCTTGATGTCCTGTGAATGGGCCCCTGGATGCCCATAGTCAGGATTTGGGACAAGAGGCCTGGCTCCCTGGGCACCTGGCAGTGCTATTTCACTAGCATTGGTCTGCATTGTGCTTATTCTTTATAAGACTTATTCTAGGCTGGATGCATTCATGTACTTTTTTTGGTTATTATCTCTGTAAATTTTTTTTTAACGAAAAGAGTTGACAATTTTATTTTCACGTTTCACTATACAAATGAAAATTGCTATTTTTTTTTTTTGTCCCACTCCTCCCCTGAAACACTGTTCTCTCTGAGATAGGAAGAGGGAGTGAGTCTTCCTTGTCTGCTGTTAGAAAACACCAGAGTCACAGCTCCTCGACCTCCTGCGAAGGAACAGGATAGAAAGGGGCTCCCCTTTCTCCCTATCTGTCTGGATGAGTCATTCCAGGCCGAGTGGGCACCGTCATGGGCTGGACCACAGGTCTCATCATTGTGGGCCCAGGCATCATTGGCATGTGCCCTCCCATAGGCGGCCTCATTCCGGGAGCAGGTCCCACTGGCATCATCCCAGGAGGAGGAGGACCCACCATTGGCATCATGGGAAGGAGGGCCCCTCCATGTGGGGTGCTGGCATCACACGGGGCGAGGTGGGCCCGGAAGACTTGGGGGAGGGGGATCATCGCCCCTGCAGGAGGTGGGGCTGAGAATGGAGTAGGAGGTAATCTTCCTTGCTGAAGTGCTGCAGAGTCATGGGTGAGGTGTGTATCGCGTAGTCACAATAAAACTTGGGCATGCTGTTCTGCAGGCCATTGGCACTCCGTTGGCCATTCCGCCGGAAATGACCTATCTCTGTAAATCTTACGGTAACCCTGTGAGATGGCAGTCTACTTTGTAGATGAGGAAACTGGTAAATTCAGGGCCTCACAGCCAGGAAGTAGGTGAGTCTCGGCCTAGGAGCCTTTCACAGGTGTTCACAGAGCACAGCTCTGTGCTGGGCTGTGTTCCGTGTGCTGGCAACAACTGACCACCAGGGGGAGGTAGAAGGTCGATGTATGGGTTGATGTTCTAAGTTGATGGTCGGGAAGGGCTCACTGCAAAGTCGTCTGAAGGCCTGAGGAGATGACGGAGGAGCCCCGTGGGATCTGACGGAGATGTTCCAAGCGGCTGGAACAGCATGTGCAAAGTCCCGAGTCTCCTACGGTTGCGTAACTATGTCTTGTTTGGTCATCGCAAGACAGGGCCCAGCCCGGGAGCCTGCCTCCCTGGCAGCTCTGGGCTCGGAGCAGGTGCTCAGAAACGGTCCCCTCTCTCTGTACCGCTGCCGTGATCGGCACCGTGAGGACAGTGCGGGCCAGGGCCCTGCTGCTCCACAGTGGCTGTGCGGGCTCCGCTCTGGGTCTGCTCGTCCCCTCCTGCGAGGTGGGCTGTGGCCTCGCCCCTTGTCCCTGCCGCCCCCACCCCTCTGCCACTCGTGCTGCCACAAGTTGCTGTTGGCGGGTCCCAGGATCTCAGGCCTCAGGAGTTCCTCCCAGGCTAGTGGAATGCCATGGCATGCAGCCCCGCCAGGGTGCCCGCCCTGCCCTTGTCCTCTGTCCATTGTGGGCCATCGGGCCACACCCCCTGCCTGCAGCCACTGGTGGGTCTGGACCAGGGACCTCTTCAGAGGCCTGCTTCACTCATCCATAGGAGGGGACATGCTGCAGGAAGGGCTGCCCTCTGCTCCTCCTTCCTGCCACTCGGTTGCCTTCTCCCCAGGGCTGGGGCCTGGGCCCGCTGTCTTTTCTGTGCTCAGGAGTTGCCTGTGCCCTCTGACCTCAGTACTGGGTCCTACCCTGGGCCCCTATCCCACTCTGGCGTCAGGGCTGGGCAGGCATGTGGTACATGTGTTTGTCTCACGCAAAGGGCACGGGAGGTACGCTTGGGCACAGAGCAGGGGGTAGGGGTGGCACTGGGGTGGGGAGGGTTGCGGATCGGGGGATGAGCCCAGGACTGAGGACTGGGAAGCACACGACAGGGCCTCCACGTTTAATTCCTCGTTGTGGATGGGCTGGGGTAGGAGCCTCTGCTGCTGCCTGCCCAGAGACCTTTTTTTTTTATTTAAAATTATTGTTTATGGTATCACATAATCGTCCTCATCCCCCCATTCCCATCCCAAACTCCTCCCCACGTGTGCCCTCAGCCCCCTGTTGTCCGTGGCCACGGGTTAGGCTTATTTGTATGCACACGAGTCCTTTGTTGATCTCTCCCCTTTCCCCCATCCTCCCTACCTTCTCTCTGAGGTTTGACAGCAGAAACCTTTGTTTTGATGGGTCAGTGGGACTTGGTTGTTAGCCTTCCCACCTAAAAACTTTATGGAGATGAAATTCAATACCCATAACACAATACCCATTAAAAGTGATGAAAAGTTCAGCGGTATTCAGTACACTCACAGTGTTGTACAACCACCGACTCGATCTGGTCCCACAACTTCCCATCACCTCGGAAGGAGACCAGCCCCCGTCCCCCCCACCCCCCCCACCCCGGCTCTGGGCAGCCACCATTCTGTGTTTTGTTTGTGGGCTTTCACTGCTCTGGACATTTCCTACACATAAGTGACCCCTTTGTGTCTGGCTTCTTTCACTTGGCAAAACTTCCTTCCCAACTAGCATAGCTTTATTTTGAAAAAATTAGAGAGACACCAGGATAGAGAGGTCCCCACCCCCCACCCCCACCCCCCACCCCCACCCCCACCCCCACCCCCACCCCCACCCCCCCCCCCACCCCCAGGGCCTCTCAGGCCTCTCTTGGGGGAAAGGCGGCCTCTGGGTCCCAGGATTTGGGGCCAGGAAATGGGAAATGAGACTGATCTATGGGGGTGGCTGCGCTGGGGCAGCCCCCAGCCCGGTGTTCGGGCCTCTGTGCTGCCCCTCGGGCCGCGCTTACCTCTGTGAGGGCAGTCTCTCCCGTCCCGTGGTCTGGGCTGGCCGGCGCGGGCACAGCCCCTCTCCGGGCCGCCCTCTCCCGCCGCCCAGCTTCCTCTCCCAGCAGCCCGCTGGGCCCCCGACGGCTGTCCTCTCCGCCCGGGCCCTGGGCTCATGCCCGGTGGGGGGAGGGTAGAACTAGCCCTTCCCCAGCAGCTGGCAGCGGGGAGAGGGCTGGTTGTATTTTAAGCTGTTGAGTGGTTCAGCAGGAACTCAGAGGCCTCGTTCCGCGGAGGCACGGTGTTGCCTTCCTGTGGACCACACCGGCTCGGAAGGCATGTGGGCACTGCCCGCCTGGGACCCAGCAACTATTAATATACCTGCAGCCACGGGGCAGGCCCTGTGCCGCCAGGGCCCTGCCGTTGTAGCCCTTTCCGCACATTCCTGGGTGCCCCGCCCGTCCCCCGTGAGTCCCCGTGGTGGGACTGATGCTCCAGGTGGTGAGACCAGCTTTCTGTTTTGGGGCCCTCTGTCTGGCCTTGTTACCCCTGAGGCTCAGAGGGGTTCGGTAACCTGTGCCCAAGGCCACACAGCCTGGCAGAGCTCTCTCTAGGCAGGTTGGCCAGGACTTCTTGGGTGCTGGGCCCTCTCCTACCCGCAGGTCCATGGGGGTGGGTGCTGCAGCCACCAGCTGGCCTCAGGGAGCTGGGTCTCACCCAGGCGTGTGCTGTCTCAGGCCCCCCCCCCCCCCCCCCCAAAGCCCTGCTCTCTGCTCCCCAGGCTGAGGCCCAGAAGGGCCAGATTCAGTCCCATGTCCTGTCCACCACATCTGCCCCTCTCACTGTCGTTGGGGTGTGTGTGAGGGGAACCCCTCTTTCAAGAGCCTTGGGTGGGCGGCGTGCCTTCGGAAAGCCTGTGTGGCCCTCGCCTCTTCCCCAGCTGCCACTGCCTGAGGGCCACAGGGTGGGAAGGTCCTCAGCACCTGCAGCCCAGCAGCCACACCTGCCACCGCCTGTCCGAGTGTGTGCACTCACTGCTGCTCTTATGTCCGCGCTGTCTGCTTGTCCTGCGTGGGTGCTGGGTCAGCTCTCCCCTCCCGCCTGGAGCCCCTTCCCTCCCAGCACCCCCCCCCCCGCTCTGCCGCTCGGGCTCGGGAGCGAGTGTGGAGTGGGCTGTGTGCTCTTGGCTTTGGGGACCTCAGGGCCTGGCAGGGCAGCTGTGTTGGGCTTACAGGATGGAAAGACGGCCCTGAAGGTGACCTTGAACGTGGTCTGGGTGATCTAGTGAAAACGTGTGGAGAGGGAGTTCAGGGAGGTCAGGGAGGGGGGCCAGGCCCCATCAGCCAAGCTGGGGTGCTTTCTGGAAACTTCCCGGTTTCTCTGCCCTTTCCACACAGAGGCTGTGCACCAACAGCTCTGGAATCTGTCACCTCCCTGGGAACACGAATGCACAAGGGAAATAATCCGGGCGACTCTCACAGCTCAGAAGGGGAAATGGATGATCTATCTCTCGGATTCTCAAAATAGCTGGGATTTCTCCAAGCCCAGTGCACTCTGCCGGCCTGAGCCGGTGCTGGGGTGTGGGCTGGCCGCTCACCCTCCTCCCCAGACTGGTCCCCTCGCTGCACTGGGTCTGGGGGCCATGCCTTCCTCCGGAGACCTCCCTACCCCCAGTGCTCCTTGGGGGCTATGTCCGCTCGAAAGCCTCACTTTCGGGGTGACCCAGCCCCTGGGGCTGCCCTGATCTGTGCCGTGGCTCCTCGGGGCTCAGTCTGGGAAGTTTTATATTTAGCTGGGCATGGCTGGAGGGCCACTCGGGTTACAGCTGCACAGAAGGTGGCAGTGCCAGGGCAGGCGTGGGCTCCTGCCCAGCGCCGCGGCAGAATTTGATCGCGTGGCCTGGCCAGAGCGCCGTGCGTGGGGAGGTCGGTGGTGGGGCCTGACGGCCGGCAGCTTGGGCCACTGGCCTCGTGGGCAGAGCGGGGTGGCATGGACCTGAGTGTGAGCTTGGTGGCTCGGGAGGCCAGCCAGGGCCACGGCCCCAGCCCTGGCTTCGGCCTCAATGGCCTGCCCCGGCCTGCACCCCCCAAAGCGGCCAAGAAGCCTAAAAAGGGCGTTCTCTTCTTCGAGGTGGAGATTCTGGATGCAAAGACTCGGGAGAAGCTGTGTTTCCTGGACAAGGTAGGACCGCGCTGCTGGCTGCCCGGGACTCTCCCTTCCGGGGGCTCCTGACCCCAGGGGATGGGAGTGCACCTCCAAACTGCTTGGGGTGCGTGGAGGGGTCCTGTGCCTGCCAGCTCGGGGTAGGTGGGCAGCCTGGCCGCTGGGTGTGGCCGGGACTTGGCCTCACAGAGCACCAGGAGGTGAAGCAGCCTCAGGGGAGCCTGCAGGGCTCAGGGCTACGAGGGGGTGGAGTTGTAACCTGCCCCTCCTGAGCCTGGGCTGGGGAAGGGGCTGTCCTTCCTCGGGGAGGTCCGGCCTGGGCTGTGGGCCTTCCCGGGGGTGTGTGTGTGTGTGTGTGTGTGGGCAGGGGTGGAGAGGAAGGGTCCAGCTTCTTCTGCTCACATTGTCTCCCGGCGTGGCTGGGGGGCGTCCTGGCTGCCTGGTAATCCTGGGCCCTCAGGCCCACTGCCGTCCCCACTCTGACAGGCCCTTCTGCTCCATGGGGTACGGGGCTTGGACCCCAACCTTCCCACTCCCATAGCAGCTGCCCAGGCCCCCACCCGTCCGCGCCTCAGCAGGAGGGATCCTGGACCAGGGGTCCTGACTCCCCCCGGCTGACTTCCCTCCGGCCCGCGCTTCCCTCAGGTGGAGCCCCATGCTACCATCGCAGAGATCAAGAACCTCTTCACCAAGAGCCGTAAGTCCAGGGCCCGGCCGCACTGCCTCCCGCAGCCCCGGGGCAGGGGCCTCTGGGTGGGACCCCTCCTGGCAGCCTCTCCCCCCTCCCGTGCCTGCAGAGATGCCCATGGTGGAGCCCAGGACTTTCTGGGCTTGCCTGTTGCAGCGCCCCCGTGTGGCCACTGGTAGGAATGCCCTTGCTTGGTTTTCGGAAGGACAACTTCCGGCTTCTGCCAGTGCTCTTCCGGGCTGTGTCCTGGAGCCACCCAGGCCAGAGCCCTGTTCTCAGTTGGAGGAGCTGTGGGTCCTCAGGCCCCTCCAGGCTGTGCTGTGACGCCCGCTCTCCCCGCAGATCCGCAGTGGTACCCTGCCCGCCAGTCCCTCCGCCTGGACCCCAGTGAGTACAGCTCTGCGCCCACCCCGGGCACCCCAGTGGCAGTGGGCGCCGTGGATGCGGGCCTGGGTAGCTCCTGAGCTGTGGTCTGCCTCTCTGCAGAGGGCAAGTCCCTGAAGGATGAGGACGTTCTGCAGAAGCTGCCGGTGGGCACCACGGCCACACTGTACTTCCGGGACCTGGGGGCGCAGATCAGCTGGGTGACGGTGAGTCCTGACCCCGCTGCCTACAGCCTCTCCCATCAGCCACTTTGGGGTGACTCGCCTGCCCGTCCTCCCAGGTCTTCCTGACGGAGTACACGGGACCCCTCTTCATCTACCTGCTCTTCTACTTCCGGGTGCCCTTCATCTACGGCCACAAATATGACTTCACGTCCAGCCGGCACACGGTGGTGCAGTGAGTGGCCCGGTCGGAGGGGGCGGGGGCGGGCGGGAAAGGCCTGCGGGCGGCCCCGCTGAGCCAGCTCTCCTCCAGCCTCGCCTGCATCTGCCACTCATTCCACTACGTCAAGCGCCTGCTGGAGACGCTCTTCGTGCACCGCTTCTCCCACGGCACCATGCCCTTGCGCAACATCTTCAAGGTAAGGCCCGGCAGCTCCCAGGCCCGCCCACAGCCCCGCCCTCGCAGGACCAGCTCTGCCCACACCCTCAGGGTGGCCCCCGCCCCCGCCCCCTCCGCCCTCCACTGGGCCAGGCCCCATCCCGGCCCTGCTCCCTTTCAGAACTGCACCTACTACTGGGGCTTCGCCGCGTGGATGGCCTATTACATCAACCACCCTCTCTACACGCCCCCCAGTAAGTGGCTTTGGGAGCCCGCCCCCCCATGAGCCCCGTCTCCCACCAGACCCCTCACAGGCCCCCTCTGGCTTTCTTTCAGCCTATGGCGCTCAGCAGGTGAAGCTGGCACTGGCCATCTTCGTGGTAAGCAGGAGGCTGTATGTGCAATGGGGGGGAGGGAGTGGGGCTCTGGCTGACCCTGCTCCTCTGACAGATCTGCCAGCTGGGCAACTTCTCCATCCACATGGCCCTGCGGGACCTGCGGCCGGCCGGTGAGTGGCTCCTCTGGGCGGGGGCGGGCGGGCTGGGCCGGGGGTCTCACTCACCCTTCCCATCCTGCCGTCAGGATCCAAGACCAGGAAGATCCCGTACCCCACCAAGAACCCCTTCACGTGGCTCTTCCTGCTGGTGTCCTGTCCCAACTACACCTATGAGGTGAGGGCCCGCCCTGCTCCCCTCCCCCTGGGGCTTCAGGCTCCATGTGGAGGGTCAGTCCCTGGAGTTAGAGGTCTCAACCCGGGGGATCCCCAACATTTCCAAGGCGGGGAGTGGGGCTCAGCAGTTGCTTTTGCAGTTTGAGCTCGAGAGCATCTGGTGACGCCAGCTGTGGCAGGGTGGGAGTTGTGTCAGGCTGGGCTTGTGGCTGCTGAGGGCTGAGGGGCATGTAAGCCCCTACCCCCACCCCCATAGCTGCCTGCCCTCACCTCCACCTGTGCCCACAGATGGGGTCCTGGATCGGCTTTGCCATCATGACACAGTGTCTCCCAGGTGAGGCCCCCCCCCCCCCCCCCGCCTGGCCCTGCCCACTCCGGGCACGCACCCCCTCTGACCCCTGCTCTGCTCTGCAGTGGCCCTCTTCTCCCTGGCGGGCTTCATCCAGATGACCATCTGGGCCAAGGGCAAGCACCGCAGCTACCTGAAGGAGTTCCGAGACTACCCGCCCCTGCGCATGCCCATCATCCCCTTCCTGCTCTGAGATGCCCACCCCCACCAGCTCCCAGTCAGGCTCCCGGGAGCCGGGCTATGTACCCCCGTGTCCCCCTGGGGGAGGAACGGGGTACACGCTGCCCAGCACCTGGAATAAAATCTGCCTGCCCAGCTGGATTCAGACTCGGCTGTGTGTTTCTTTGGGGGCAGGGACCAGCACACCACAGGCATAGGCAGGGCTTGGGCTGAGGCCGAAGCTTTTATTTCTCCCCTCGTCCAAGGGCGGTGGCCGGGCCCACTACGCAGCCACCTGGCTTCTGGCCAGATCCGCCTCCCTCTGCTCCCGCCGCTTCTTTCGCTGGAGCAGCCGCCGCTCCCGCTCGTACTCCTTCATTCGCTTCACGTAGCTGTGGGCGGAGCAGAAGGGCGTCAGCTCCCTGCCTGACCTGGCCTCCCTTGGCCCTGGGAGCCAACGCCGGGGCTGGGACTCCACCCCAGAGCACTCTGGGAGGCCTAGGCGACCCCGCCCGGTCTAAGTCTGGGGTCTGCCCCCTGGCCTCTCTGGTGGGCACCGTGAGCCCTCCCCCAGGGAACCCTGGCATGGCCACGCCTCCAGGTGGCCTCAGAGGCCTGCCCCACCTGCTCCACCCAGCACACCCGAGAGCCTTTTTCCAACTGAGGTGGGGCCTGGCTAGAAACGCGGGCTGGTTCACTGCCCTTTGCTTCCGATCCTTGGGCTGCGGGGTTGGTGGGGAGGGCTGAGGGATAAGCGGTGAGGGATAACGGGTGGGTGGGGGTAAGGGATAGGGGTGGGCCGGCTCACTCGAGGTGCTCGCAGTAGTCCCAGTCGTGCTGCTCGTGCTTGCAGCCCAGGAAGTTGGGGAAGCTGTCGCGCTTGCACTTGAGCAGCCGGATCAGGTAGTGAGCGCAGTAGTCTCGCTGCTGGAGCACCAGCTGTGCGTCATTCATCTGCTGCTGCGTGGCCACCATCTCTGCGGGGAACGGGAGGGCGGGCCTCAGCCAGGGCGGGCTTGTGGGGGCCTAACTGCTGGACTCGGGTCCAGGGAGACCCAGCCGGCCCACATGCAACCAGGAGCCATGGCTCAGGCCTGCCCCCCACAGGTGACTGCCATCCTCTGACAGATGGACTGTCCGTTTCTCATTTGTTCAAAGGCAATCCTGGACACAGGTCCAGACAAGGGAAGAGTCCTGTCCCCCCATCACCCCAGGCGCCTCTGATCCACACTGGATCCTCACTCCCCACTCCTCACTCTGGATCACTTTGCAAACGGCCCCTCCCTGCAGAACCCACTTTCCCCCCGTGCTCCCTCTGCTGGGCAAACCCAGAGTGGGGACTGGGCTGCTGGGGTAACGTGGCTCCAGGCTCTGCCCTCTCACCAGTGTGGCCTCTTGGGAATCCAGTTTCTTCCCCTGAGGAGTGGACTAACAGTCCCCGCTCAGTCAACTGAGCGAGCATGAGGGAACGAATGTAAGGCTCAGTGCCCACCGCAGTGAGAGCTAAGCTTACCACAGGGCTTGTGCCCCATCCACCTGGCAAACCTTCGAGAGGCTGGCTGGGGCCTTCGAAGTCTGGGGCACAGTCCATGCTGGCAACTTCCCAGCTCCCCTGCAACCTTCCCCACTGTCTTCTCTCCCCTGCTCTGAGCCCGTCTCCCCCAGGCCTGGGCCTCACCCCTCCCTGCACAGAACCTCTGGCTTCCACTGCCCACACAGGCTCTCACAGGGCCACCGAGACCCCCGGGCACCCTCTTCCTCAGCTTCTTTCTTGAACATTCTCTGCCCCTGGCTCTCCCCTCCCCAGGTTTCCTCCCATCGCTATGGCTTTGGCTTCCTGAGGTTCCTGCTGAGAGCCTCTGCTCCTTTTAATCCCCGGCCTCCATCACTACCCCATGGGCCAGCGGTTCTCAACCTGTGGGTTGCGACCCCTTTGGGGTGTGGGGTCACAATCCTTGGGGGGGGTGTCGAATGATCCTTTCACAGGGGTCACCTAAGACCATCGGAAAACAGATGTTTACATTACGATTCATTAACAGTAGCAAAATTACAGTTATGAAGTAGCAATGAAAATAATTTTATGGTTGGGGGTCACCACAACATGAGGAACTGTGTTAAAGGGTCGCGGCCTTAGGAAGGCTGAGAACCACTGCCATAGATTAAGCCCGACTCGGTACCCCCACCCTCACCTTGTCTGAGCGCCAGGCCCATAATCCACCTGTAGCCCCCCTGCTGGTTTCCATGGCAATGTGACGGCTACCTGCACCTGGCATAACCAGCCAGCAGTTAGGATTAATGGAGCACCTAGGAGTTAGGTGCTTGTACTGTGTGTCCCTCCCGGCTCTTGGAGGACACACAGTGCGAACAGGTGGAGCCTGTCGCAGAGTGCCCACGATGCTAAGTATCGGGAAGTAAAGCAAGGGAGGGGGGGCAGTGTAGGAGGTGGGTCACAACTTTAGGTGAAGGGGTGCGCCCTTTAGAAAGTGGCATCTGAACGGGAGGGACGGGACACGAGGAGCCCGGGGGAAGAGCATTCCCGACGGGGGAGCAACAGGTGCAGAGGCCCGAGGGCGAGGGCACAGGCCGTGGGACGCCCCAGGGATCCGGGCTGAGCGTGTGGCCTGAGTGGGCTTGCTGAGTGCGAGATGCCCGTCACCACTGTGGAGAGCCACGCAGGCAGCGGGGTCCGTGAGTCTGGGGTTCAGGGCCAAGGCCCCGCTGGAAGTAAAAGCTGGGAGCACTGGGACACAGAGGGCATCTGAAGCTAGGGAACTAGCAGAGGACCCCAGGGAGTGAGTGGAGACCCTGGGGCTCCCCAATATTTACGATTTGGGGGGTGGGGGGGAGAATCAGTGAAGGAGCCCACATTGAGGCGGGCAGGAGGGGGGGATTCTGGCAGCCAGGTGAGGAAGGGCTTCCAGGAAGAGGCTCAGTGGGGGTGGTGAGAACTGGGAATTACATGGGGTCTAGCAATAGTGTGCGCGACCAACTGGATCAGAGCTCTTGCAGTGAAGTGGCGAGAGCTGGAGGGGGCGGGGGCCCAGGAGGAGAGTAAAAGTAACTATTGTACTTGCATGTCATGGAAAAAACCATGTTCCAAGAGAAAGGGAGACTGTGAGGGGCGCCCTTGGGCAGGTGAGGACGGGACGGAGGTCACAGGTTTCCCGGAGCAGGGCCAGATCATTGAAGGAGCAGCAGAGGAGGAGTGCCACGGAGCCATGAGAGCTCTTTGGACAGTTTCTATTTTCCTTTTTTATTTCAAAAATATGTTTTTATCGATTTTTTCAAAGAGAGGAAGGGAGAGGTAGAAACATCAATGAGCATCATTGATCGGTGCCTCTTCCTCCATTGATCCGTGCCTACAACCTAGACATGTGCGCCAACCGGGAATCAAACCCTGACCTCCTGGTTCACAGGTGGATATTCAACCACTGAGCCACACTGCTGGGCTCCACTGATTTTGAGAGAGTGGAAGGGTCACAGCATTAGGAAGGTTGAGAACCACTAGGAAGGGAGAGAGAGAAAAACATGGATGTGAGAGACACATTGATTGATTGCCTCCTGTACGTGCCTGACTAGGACCAGGGATCGAACCTGCAAACTGACTGGAATCGAACCCGAGACCCTTCAGTGCGTGGGCCAATGCTCGAACCCGAGCCAAATAGGGAAACAGCTCCTATTTTCTGAATAAGAGAATTCAAAGTGACTAGCTGAAAGGAGGTACTAGAGTCAGAGAGAAGGCGTGGGACTCTCATCTAGGAGGGAGGAGGGGAGGGAAGGGCCAGGAAATGTATCAGGAAAGCCAGCAGCAGAAGGATCAACCAGGGGCTGACGGGGAGAACCGTTGTAGAGGCCGCGTGTTTTTCTCCCCGGATGGTCAGCTCAACAGGAACAGGCTTAACCAGCTCCAAGCAGGAGAGAGGAGCAGGAGGCTGTGGGTGTTTGCAAAACAGCAAAGCAGGGTGCGGGAAGCAGGGGGAAGGATTAACCTAAGAAGGTAGGGGATCACTGGACTGCAAATCCATGCAGGGCCATTGGAGGGCTCCACTTCCCAACATTCTCTCCAATCCAGACCGCTCTGCACATCTCTGTCTCCCAGCACAGCCTTTTGCCAAAGCAACTCGGATCCTATCTCCTCTGCTTACAAACGCTGGGTCTCCCCTCTCCTGGGTCTCCGTGTGGTCAACTCCTACCCATGACCCTGAGGTCTGGCTCCCAGCTATTGCCTCCTGGACGCCTGCCTCCCTACTACTCCAAGGTGTGGACCCCCCAGATCTGCCTGGTGCCGCTGTCTCACCCCCAGGGCTGCTAGCTGTATCCATGGTGCCCAACTTGGGACCCCGGCCCAGAATCGGCGTTTGATGTGCTTGTGATATCACTACATTTAAAAGCAACGGGTCAGCCCTGGCAAGTGCCGCTCAGTGGGTTGAGCGTCGTCCCCTGCACCTAGAGATCGCTGGGCTGGATTCCCGGTCAGGGCACATGCCCAGGCTGCGGGCTTCATCATGGGTGTGTGCAGGAGGCAGCCCATCTGTGTCTGTGTCTCTGTCTCAAATCAAAAACATCCTTTAAAAAAAAAAAAAAAAAAAAGGCAGCTGAAACCAGTTTGGCTCAGTGGATAGAGCATCGGCCTGCGGACTGAAAAGTCCCAGGTTCGATTCCCGGCAAGGGCATGTACCTTGGTTGCGGGCACATCCCCAGTAGGGGGTGTGCAAGAGGCAGCTGATCGATGTTTCTAACTCTCTATCCCTTTCCTCCTCAAAAAAAAGAAAAAGAAAAAAGAAAAATCAATAAAACATATTTTTAAAAAAAGCAACGAGCACGACAGTATGCATGGCGTGAGTCCGCTGCGCATACCTAGGAACAGGAGTGACACCCGGACGGTGCACAGGTCCCTTCGCGAGGAGCCCTCCCTGGGGCCCGCTGCCTCCAGGACAGAGCCCGGCTCCAGCGCCTGGTTAGCCCCTACCGCCCCTCTCCCCCCGCGGGCTTCTCCTCCAGCCGTGCCCTCCGCCCCGAAAGCCTCCACCCCCAGGCAGGGTCACCCCGCTCCCGGGCCCCCCGGCCAGGCCAGGCCAGCGCCGCGCCCAGCCCTGCGGACCCCGGACCCGGGGTACGGCGGCCGCCCCCGCGCTCGCTGGCCGCGCCTGCGCACTGGGCCTCACCGCGCTCCTTGCGCCCGGGGAAGCCGTAGTCGGGCGGGAAGGTGGGCATCCGCAGGGGGTCTGGCTCCACGGAGGAGTCGCCCAGGTAGCGCCTGGCCAGGTGCGCCCCCATGGCTGCGGTCGCCACAGATTCCTGTGGCGCTCAGGTCACCCCGTTCCTATCCGGAAGCACTGCCCCCTCGCTCGTGTCAGCTTCCGGGTTGCGCTGGCCGTCACCGGGGATCATAGAGACGAACGAGTCCGGAGGACTTTCGGTATCTCTGGCGTCACCTGGTGGCCATTTGGAGACATTACAGGCGCGGCGCGCCCCGTTCTCAGGATCCTGTGACTGTCGATGGATTCGGGGATGTGCAGGGTTTTTTTTGTTTTTTGTTTTTGCCTCCGGATAGAAATCCACCTGGGTGGGGAACTGAAGGGAGGACGACGTGCGTCCGGGGCCTTCCCCTACCCTCGCTGGGCGCCCCTGATCTCCCCAGGCTACAGCACAACTGGAAAACTTTTTTCATATTATAATCATATTTTTTAAAAACATGGTTTTTCTACAAAAAAACATTCGAATTTGTTTTAAAAAGCCTCGCACGGTATCAATGATATATTTAGTGAATACCAAAAGCTTAAATAAAATTATTTCAAAAAAATCTTTTAGTGAATTTAATTTAAATATGCAAATAAAGTTATGTAATATATGATGCGCACTGACCACCAGGGAGTAGACGCTCAATGTAGGAGCTGCGGAGCTGCACTTGGTCTCAGGAGTTCAGGTGATGGACCAGGGAACCAGAGTGGAGGGAGCCCGATTCCTCAGGGTGGCCATACGATTCCACCTTCGGCTGTGGGTTATATTGTTGCTGGGGCACTGTCGGCCAAGAAACTGGCTTACTGCCAAGCTGCAGTGACCACAGACACCCTTCCAGTCGCCCCAGGTGTGGCTGGCCAGAGAGGGACCAAGGGAGGTTGGCTGCAGGGTGCGTCCAGCCCGTCTTGCCCAGTCCCGCCCCACTGGCCACCTTCTAATTAAGTTCCTTTCAATGTGCACGAAGACCATGCACTGAGCCACTAGTTTATAACTAAAACTATCGAGAGCCAAAATATTAAATAGATCCTATTGAATACTTTGTGAAAATCAAACAAGCTGCAATTCTAGTATCCCTCTAGTGGCCACTGTAAAGAAGTGCTATTATAGCCCGATTATGTGACTCAGTGGTTGAGTGAGCATCGATCTATGAACCAGGAGGTCATGGTTTGATTCCCAGTCAGGACACATGCCCTGGTTGTGGGCTTGATACTCAGTGGGGGGTGGGGGAGGGAGGGAGAGCATGCAGGAGGTAACAGATCAATGATTCTCTCTCATCACTGATATTCTGTCTCTCTGTCCCTCTCCCTCTCTGAAATCAATAAAAGCACATATAAAGAAGAATTGATAATACATTTCACACTTATTATATTAGGGCTTACATATATGCAAATTTAAGAGTACATTATTTAATACTGCTAAATATTTCTGGGCCTCAATGTGCAACTGCAACTAATGTGCTAATTTGTTACTCCCTCTGGACTCTGTCACTGGGATACACAGAGCAGCCGCTCATTGGGAGCTTGGCCGTGCTGGGAAATGATACTTGGTTATGTAAGAATAGATTTCAGCTGAAACCGGTTTGGCTCAGTGGATAGAGCGTTGGCCTGCGGACTGAAAGGTCCCAGGTTCGATTCTGGTCAAGGGCATATACCTTGGTTGCAGGCACATCCCCAGTAGGGGGTGTGCAGGAGGCACCTGGTCGATGTTTCCCTCTCATCGATGTTTCTAGCTCTCTATCCCTCTCTCTTCCTCTCTGTAAAAAATTAATAAAATGTATATTTAAAAAAAAATAGTTTTCATTAGATCAGGTGTTGTGGGTTGAAGTGGGACTCCCTCACCACAAAAAAAAGGTTGAAGTGAAGCCCAGCTGGTGTGGCTCAGTGGTTGAGCATTGACCTATGCACCAGGAGGTCACCAGTTTGATTCCTGATCAGGGCACATGCTTGTGTTGCAGGCTCCACCCCCAGCAGGGGCTGGCCAGAGGCAGCCAATCAGTGTTGATGTGTCTCTCTCTCATCAATGTTTCCCTCTCCCTTTCTCTCCCTCCCTCTCTGAGAATCAATAAAACATATTTAAAAAGAACACACTCAGCTCCTAACCCCTGGGACCTGTGAATGTGGCCTTATTTATTTATTTATTTATTTTTTAAAATTTATTTTTAATTTAATTAATTAATTAATTTATTTATTTTAAATCAATCTTTATTCATATTATTACAAAGGTTCCTCATTTCTTCCCCCCTCCACCAGGTTCCCACCCCACCCTCCGCCCCCTCCCCATCCCCCATTGTCCTCATCTATAGGTGCACAGTTTATGTTCAGTCTCTTCCTCCCTCCCTTTCCCCGATAGTAAATCCCTTTTCAGATAGTAAATCAGTTACTTAGCATTTTCTCATATCAATAATACCTCCACATACCCAATGATACACTTCACACAAAAGACATTTCTAAATAGGTCAACCAGCCTTATCCAGGCCCCACCCAAGGCACTCACAGATCAACAACCCAGCCCTATACTAACTCAACACATCCAGATCTAAGCCTTCATCACTTGATTCAGCAGACCCTCAAGTTCCCGCAAAAGTTTCCAGCCATGTCTGAGAGGCAGCCATGGGGCAGGGGCAGGCGAGGAGCGAGCTGTTCTGGGCCTGGCTGTTCCGGGCCTGGCCTCTGTTGCTCTGGTTCATTCCACAACCAGCTGCTCCGGGTCTGGTCACTGCCGCTCCTGACCTAGTTGCTCTGGACTTGGCAGCTGCTGCTCCGGGCCTGGCCGCACCAGACCCGTGAATGTGGCCTTATTTAAAAATAGTCTTAGTAGGTGAAATTAAGTCAAGATGAGATCATACTGGCCATGTGCTCTTGAAGGGAATCGAACTCAGGGCCTTTCAGTCCTCAGGCCTAGGCTCTACCCACTGAGCCAAACCAACCAGGGCGAGGGGTTTGTGATTTTAAAAAAGCTCATATTGCCAATGAACACATGTTAAGCACATCCACATTGCATAGAATGTGGTAATTAACATGTAACCATGGTATGATCTCGCATGGTTATTTCTTACCTTTATTGGAGAAACCTTAGTTTTAATTATTTCCTCCAAAAATAAATTATCCATTTGCTTAAAAAACAAAACAAAACATTGGCTCAATGTTGGATAGAATGTCAGCCCTTGGACTGAAGGGTCCTGGGTTTGATGGCCGGTCAAGGGCATGTACCTCCGTCACAGGCTTGATCCCCAACTCTGGTTGGGGTGTGTGCAAGAGGCAACCAATTGATGTGTCTCTCTCACACTGATGTTTCTCTCTCTCTGTCTCTCCCCCTCCCATTCATTCTCTCTAAAAATCAGTAGAAAAATATCCTCGGGTGAGGATTAAAAAAATAAAAAGAATCTTGAGATGAGGTCATCTTGGATTAAGCAGGTGGGCTGCCAATCCAATGACGAGTGTCCTTATGCGAGAAAGACAGAAGGAGATTTGGCACGGACAGAAGAGGAGACACAGAAAGAGGAGCAGGCCCATGAGGATGGAGGCAGAGGCTGGAGTGGTGCAGCCACAGGCCCAGGAACCACTAGAGGCAGGAGGACCCAGGGACAGACTTTCCCCTTGGGCCTTTGGAGAGAGCACGCCTCTGCCGACACCTTGACTTGGGACTTCAGGCCTCCGAATTGTGAGAAAATAAATCCCAGGGGTGGCAAGTTGCCCTGTTTGTGGTCATTTGTTTCGGCAGCCCCAGGAAACCAACACGCTCCCTTTGGGTGGATAAATCCCAAATTTGTCTCCAGGTGTGTGCAACCACTGACTGGGCGCCTCCAGGTGGCCACCTCACCCTGGCAGGCTGTCCCTGTCCATTTGGGCTCCTGTGACGACGTCTACAGACTGGGTGGCTTATCAACAACAGAAAGTGACATCTCAGAGTTCTGGGGGCTGCAAGTCCAAGATCAGGGTGCTGGCATGGCCAGGTTGCAGATGGCCCACTTCTGGCTGTGTCCTCACATGGGGGGAGGGATGGGCGAGCTCCCTGGAGTCCCTTTTATAAGAGCAGGAATCCCTCATGACCCAGTCTCCTTCCAGAGGCCTCACATCCTAATACCATCACAATGGGGGTTAGGGTTTCAACATATGAGTTGTTTTTTTGGGGGGCGGGCCACACACATTCAGTCCATAACATACACTCAGACTGCACTCCTGATTTCCCTGTTCTCTTTCTCCTAAACCTGCCCCTCTCTCTCTCCTCTAGTTTTGGGCAATGGCTGCTCCATTTTTCCCCCCAGGGGCTCAGGCCCCAAACCTTGGGATCACACTTGATTCTTACCCTTCTCTCACTTCAGGCAGCCAAATCATTGGCCCATTCCTCTGCCTTCACCGCTGAAGTCTGTCAAGGCACCATCACCTCTCCCCAGTATGACCGCAGAGCCATCTCCTTGTCCTCATCTTTCCGGAGGGTGCACCTGTCAAAAGGGAAGCCAGAGGGAAGATGGGGGTGGGGAGGGTGGGTGGGAAAGGATCAATCAAAGAACTTATATGCATATATGCATCACCGATGAACACAGACAATAGCGTGGTGAAGGGCTGGGGTGGGGTGTGGGTGGGAGTGGGCTAGAAGAGGCCAATGGGGGGTGGGGAAAGGGAACATATTTAATACTCTCAATGATAAAACCAAACCAGAGATGGTCAGACCTGCATCACCACCATTTGTCCACCAATCAGATCTGAAATATCATGGCTGACATGTAAGGAACTGTTTGACATTGAAATTGGGATTCAAAAAGAACTGTTGGCCCAGAAAGGAAGTCACTACAGGCTGATTCATTTGCCTCTCAGCATAACCATTATGGCTTGTCTCAGTTTTGGTTCTTACAAGGGTATTTCTTGGATCACATGATCTCACACATCTAGAGGAAATAATGAACAACATAAACTGATGAACAAAAACAGTCCCAGAGAAAGAGAAGCAGCAGTCAGACTCTCAAAACTCAGAGGTAAAGTAGGGGAGGGTGGGAGTAAGGGGCAGAGATCAACCAAAAGACTTGTGTGCATGCATATGGGCCTAACCAGTGGCCATGGACAACAGGGGTGTGGGGGCATATGTGGGGAGGGGTTTGGGATGGGAATGGGGGATGAG